GGCAGATCACACCTTTATGGCAACGTCGTACCCCCTCGTGCGCAATGGTCTCAACCGGAAGCTGTACCTGCAGGAAGCATCGGGCGCATGGGGCACGGGATGCAATCAAGTGGAGTTATGTGACGTGACCAAGTGGAGGTGGTGGAACGTGAAGGGACACAACGCACGGTGCAACTACCTCGACCATCTACCGTGCCTACGCTCTTCGACCCGTCTCCTTGCGAGTACACCGAAGAAGATAAAGACAGGCTGTCACGCAAAATGGTGGGAGCAACGGTGGACAAGGCGTTCACAACAACCCCGTTCGACGGCACTAACTTTCGAGAGTGGGCTCTTCGATTTCGCATGAATGCACGCGTGACAAATCTGTGGGAGTTTTTCGTGACACTACAATACCCAGTGGCAATGGCGAATGGAGAAATGCGAGATGCAATGGAACAGCTGGAAGCTTTGCAAGCAGATTACTCACAACGTGCTACGCTGGCGTTTTGGGTGCTTCTACATAGCGTGAGCGCAACCATTCAACTACAGCTGGACGTGTTCCAAGAGTCATACAGTCCGACATTCGAAGCATGGGAGTACCTGATGGAGACTTACCAGGCAAAGGATTCGGTGGCAAAGGCGTCTCTCCAAAGGCAATTGGACAACCTGAAGATGGGGAGCCAAGAAAGGGTGGAGTAATACATCAACCGGGCAACTGCAATTCGAGACAAGCTGGCAACGGCGGGAAAGATGGTGGATGAAGATTCATTCACTTTAAATCTGATTACCGGGCTGCCGCCGCATTGGGAGGAGCTGAGGCATTCGGCAATGCTACACGACATCTCGGACAGCTACACACTACAGCGAATGATGATTCAGGAACAACGCTACCAAGACCTCATCAGCAAGACCAACCGTGACAAACGTCCTCCCCGTATGGCTGGTCAAGCACGTGGAGATACTTCACCAGCAAAAGAGAGGACCGAGACAAAGGGCAACCAAAATGCGGCAACAGGAGGACAGAATGCGGTTGGGGAGAAACTCAAGGCCAACGAAGGAAGGGGAGGGCGCTCCAACCTTGTGTGTTGGTACTGCAAGGAATCTGGCCACCCGTTCTACAAATGTCCTAAGGCGCCCCCGGGTTGGTCACCACCAAGGTGGGAACCACAAAACAGAGGGAGGACAAACCAGCGCACCTGGAATAGCCGTTCGTCCTCGCCTCGAAGGATTGAAAGCCCCAAACATGACAACCAAGCGTCAAAACAGCAAGGGGCAGTGGGGGGAGACAACAAACGCACCATTACATGCGTTGCAACGGTTCGGTCGTCACAAGCAATGTTACCAGCAGCCGGAGGGTCGCTGTGGTTGCTGGACAGCGGGTGCAGCCAACACATGACTTCAGAAAAGGATTGGTTTGAGGGTCTAGAGAAGCTGGACGAACCTATTTACGTGGAGCTTGCTGACGGGAGCCACCTGTTGAGCTCGATGGCGGGAACAATCCGAGCAACGGCACTCGATGGAACAATAGTGCGCTACACGGATGTGCTCTACGTACCTGGCTTGAAGTCCAACCTACTCTCCTATTGCCAGCTGCACACGAAAGGAGCTCAGATTCGCACTCGTGGTGACGGACGCACGGAGATTACTATGGCGGTTGAAGATGAGGATGTGGTCATTGGGGTTGGAATGATCATGCATGGTGTGCTCATGGTGCAGTATGAGCCTGCAATTGCATCTGCCCATGGATCTGACCATTACCATGAGGAAGTCGCATCGCATGATCATGGTCATAAAGGGCTGAATCCACTTTCAGCGCATGCATCCATCACATACCGCATGGCCCACAAGCGCTTGGGTCACCCATCATACACATCCATGGATGCAACATTTCGAAATGGTGATGTTGAAGGACTCACCATATCCGACAAGACTAACCCTCTCAAACCCCCATGTGACTCATGTCTTCGAGGGAAAATGAGCAAGGCACCCTTTCCCACAGGACGTACCAATGCCACAACTCGACCTTTGGAGCTCGTGCATAGCGACATCATGGACCTGGGTGATGCTCACCCTTCACTTCGCTATGTGCTCACGCTCAAGGACGACTACACCAACTACCTGTGGGTGGCGCTGTTGGCTCGCCGGTCCGACATGGCTGCAGTTTTCTTGGCTTGGCACCGTGAGATGAAGACCAAGCTGCCCAAGACGCCGCTGGCTGCCTTGCGCACGGACAATGGGGGGGAGTATACATCAAACGCATTCACGGATAACCTGAGTTCTCACGGTATCAATCACCAAACGTCCTTACCACACACGCCGCAGCAGAATGGAGTCGCTGAACGGGTTAACCGCACACTCATGGACCGAGTGCGTGCAATGACTACCGGGGCCAGCCTTTCTTCTAAGTTTTGGCCTTATGCACTGGAGTATGCAGCCTGATTACACAACCGCATCAGCTGCAGCAGCAACCCATCAGCACACTCACCATACTTCATGATGACAGGAAAGGCGGCAGATGTTTCAATGGCAAGGACCTTTGGCTGCCTCTACTACTACCTCCCTCCCCAATGCAGCTTTGGGAAGTTCGAGCAAAGAGGAAGGATTGGGATGTTCCTTGGACTCTCCAACACTCGAATGGCATGGATCGTGCGGGACTTGGCAAGCGATTTTGACACGGACGCACGGTCTGCTCGCTTCTTTGATGACCTCATGATTCCGGACGCTGAATCGGTACTCGAACGCCACCGCTACATGGAAGAAGTCTCACCTCACATCGACGGCTGGACTTCCGGGGGAGAAGGCTTTGGGTCCGAGTTGGACTCATTTCCCGCATCCTCGCCATCGCCTACGTCGTCCACGGACACATCAACCACACGAGGACAGGAAGTTGTCGCAAATCAAGGAGATGCACCCATTGACGACGCAACCAATAAGGGAGAAGGGGGTGCAGCAAGTGACTTACCTCCAGCTGGCGTCTCTATTCCTGAAGGTGCTGAAAGCAACGAAATGGAGAATGAGGCAAGTCATATCTATGACTTTGCCTACCCACCTGATGGGATCGAGCTGGCAGTTCATGACGCAACTCCACGTCGGGTTCACTTCAACCCAACTGTGACTGTGCTCGGAGGAGAAGGACAAGGGACGGACACCATGACAGGACTGGATGTGCTGTTTGGGAAACGACAGGCAACACAAGCGTTCAACAAACATCCCAACTTGCAGCAACACGTACTAGGATGTGCAGCAACCGGCGTCCCCATGGTGGACTTGACATACAAGGAGCCCAAAACGCTCAAAGAGATGACAACAGATCAGTATGGGCGCACTGACCCGCTACTGAAACAAGCCCTTTTATCCCAATGGTCTAGTGGTTCGGATTCTGACATGGTATCAGAGCGAAGGTCTCGGGTTCGAATCCCGGTGTATGCACATGTTGGCCGTTGCCACTGTGCTCAGTCATGGGCCTCCCAGTGTGGGGGGGTGTCAGTAGAGCTACACTGTGAGATCCCCGATCGATCCTAAGGGGGGTTACAGAAGCGTTTGCCTGGGGGGTTATGGGCGCACTGACCCGCTACTAAAACAAGCCCTTTTATCCCAATGGTCTAGTGGTTGGGATTCTGACAGTTTGTGGTGCGGGCTGAATCGTAGTGCCAGGTGCTTGGGATTGTGCTCTTGAGAGGTCGTTTTGCAGGGACGAGCGTTCTGCCGTCAGCGTCGCGATTTCCTCGGCGCTCTCGCGGATTTGTCGCAGCAGATCGTTCAAGTGTTCCTGCGTGAGAGTCGTGACGTCGATGTGTTCAGCCATTTCGAAGGGCGTCGGCTTGTCTTAGTCTAGGCGCAGTCGTGGCTGCATGCGATTACGAGAGAACGCGAGGACAGCGGCTCCTAGGTGCTAAGGTACGTGAGTCAGTTCGAGTGAAAAATCAAAAGTTGATTTCCTGGGGTGCGGAGATGCGCGGTCCGAAAGAAAGGGGCTCTGAATACCAAGTGTTACGGGTGCAATGAATCGAACTAGCGAGAATTGCACTAAGGTGTCAAACGAGTACAAAATGTGAGCGAAGGCATGAGCGAACATTTATACGCGAAACATGCAAACGGTAACGCGGTGCGTGCGAGCTAGCTAGTGCTACGGTGGCAGCGAGGCTTGGGCTAGTCCCGAAGCGCAGGCCGACACGGCCGGGCCAGCAGTGCGAGGTTTGGCAAATCAGTGCGCGCGAAGTTGACGAAGTCCCGTTTGCAGTAACGGGCGAACAACGGCTGTTGCTGTACGCGATGTAGTCGGGCTCCGTAAGGAATGCCGAGAAAATTCCTTACAGTTATCAATATTTTGCCTCACATATGCCGTTTGAATGTATTCGTTAGTGGGTGTACGACGCCCTGACTCGCCTCACCATCACCCAACCAAATCAGCTGCGCCTGCAATCAACCGCAGCAAGCGTTCCCCCATTTTCCACAGTTGCTGCGGAAAGTCTTCCCTGGTCTCCGCGCATCCCTCCCCTTCACTCTCCGCGCGCACACCGGCTTGCGGACCCAACCCCGCATCAACCTCAAACGAACTCCGCTCCAGCACCATACAACTTTCCCCCGCGTGTATTTATAAGCACATCGCCCCTATACCCCCCATTCCATTCGTTTGCGTCACACCGTCCCTCGCCTGGCATCTCGACGCGTTTCCCCATCTACTTTATCCTTTCAACCCTGGGAGCTCACCTGTCATAATCCATGGCGGCTCAATCCAGGATCCTACGAGCCTGATTCGCAACTTGTAGCCGAGCCGCTGGATGTCATATCTGGTTCGCCTTATTTTCGCTTTTTGTTTTGCGAAGTAGGCCGTTTTGGACTCGACGCCTGGCGAGTTTCGGTGTAGACCTAATTTCGCGTTCTGGTTTCGGCCATGACCAGACTGTTCTCCTTGCCTAGGAATTGCTATTCCTGCTTGACTGAAGCCGAACAACGTTAGCAATTTCGTGTCGATAGTAATTAGCGGCTAGGGTTTCGAGTGCACAAAACGACTTAGCATGCTTCAGTCGGTTAAGAAGACGTTTGCAGGGGGTCGGAAAAAGCAGGGTAAGTCAGAGGCAGCGTCGCACGATGCAGGCAATGCAGCAGCGGCGCCAGCAGCGGGGGGTGGCATTGCTCGGTCGGGCTCGGGGAAGCTTGCATCAGGGGGAGGGAACGCCGGAAAGGCGGGAGGCCCGCATCCGCCTCCTGGCGTCGCGAATCCAACGGCTCCCGTTCGTCGCGACCCCAACGAAGTGATCGCGCAGGCGAACGCGTCGCCTTTCGCGGAGCCGCTGCCGCTGTTTAGAGACGTGGGTCCGCAGGAAAAGCAGGCTTTATTCATTCGGAAGCTGCATCTCTGCACTTACCTCTTCGATTTCAACGACCCCATGAAAAACGTGAAGGAGAAGGAGATTAAGCGGCAAACGCTCCTGGAACTAGTCGACTACGTTAATTCCGGAACCGGGAAATTCAACGAAGCGGTATTCGAAGACATCACGCGCATGCTGGAGATTAATCTCTTCCGGCCGTTACCGCCGTCCGCGCACGAGATGTCCGGGTCGGAATCGTTCGACCCGGAGGAGGAGGAGCCGACTATGGAAGCCGCGTGGCCGCACCTGCAAATAGTCTACGAGTTCCTGCTTAGGTATGTTGTCTCTAACGAGACCGACGCGAAGGTCGCGAAGCGCTACGTGGACCAGAAGTTCATCTTAAAGCTGCTGAACCTGTTCGACTCGGAGGACCCTCGCGAGCGGGACTATTTGAAGACTATTCTGCACCGGATTTACGGGAAATTTATGGTGCACCGGCCGTTCATCCGCAAGGCGATTAACAACATATTCTACCGGTTTATCTACGAGTCGGAGCGGCATAACGGCATCGCTGAGCTGCTGGAAATCCTAGGGAGTATTATCAACGGGTTCGCGCTGCCGCTTAAGGAGGAGCATAAGTTGTTCCTGGTCCGCGCGCTGGTTCCGCTGCACAAGCCTAAGTGCGTGTCGATGTACCACCAGCAGCTGTCGTACTGCATCACTCAGTTTGTGGAAAAAGACCCGAAGCTCGCGGATTTGGTGCTGCGCGGGTTGCTTAAGTTCTGGCCCTTAACTAACAGCCAGAAGGAGGTGCTGTTCCTTGGGGAGTTGGAGGAGATTCTGGAGCTTACGCAGGCGCCGGAGTTTCAGATGGTCATGACTCCGCTGTTCCAGCAGATCGCACGCTGCCTCAGCTCCTCTCACTTCCAGGTACGGTGGGACGGGTGTGTTGGGGTGTGCTGCGGTGCTCGGGAAATGTGATACAGTGGTGGAAGGGGGTGTGAGAGAGGGTGTTAGGGGTTGCGAGGGGGTACGCGGAGCTGCGAGGAGGTGTGAGGGGGTGTCACGCATTATTACGCAGGCGCCGGAGTTTCAGATGGTCGTAACGCAGCTGTTCCAGCAAATCGCGCGCTGCCTCAGCTCCTCGCACTCGTGTACCGCGGTTCGCCACTCTCAGGTACGCTCCCTCAGGCCACCATGTTCCTAAAGTCCTCACATGCTGATCTCTGGATTCAAGTGCGAGCAATGTTGAAATCGGTCAGCACTGCTTACATCTCAAAGGACGACCTCTGAGTCGACTCAGAATTCGCCGTTCTTCAGCACGGTGTGGCGCCTCAAGTCGGTGCGGGTCTTTGTTTATCCTGGTGTTTTGGCGTTATTTAGGGTTTCGTTGATACTGTGGGGTCTTGCTGACGTGTCATGCACGCGCTCTTCGTTTTCCCACTTGCGGCCGCGTCCCCCGTGTCTCCCTTCTGCCTGTGGCCAGTTCCCCGGTCTCTACACTGTTTCAGCGTGATAAGTGATTACATTTCCACCGCATAACTCCTCACCGTCACCCTCCTTCCTGTGTTGGTTTGCCATGGGTCATATTCATGACCTTGTGTCCTACTATGAATTGTCCCATACACACATTGTATCGACGTATGATACCATCACTCACTGTCCCATACGCGCGTTTATACAAAATATTGCCCCATACTTACATTGTGCTCGTATTCATGCCTTATATTGTTCCATACATACCCGACCATGTATGTAAATACCGTGTACTGTCTCAAACATATTTCATCGCCATGCATACTTTTCCTAACAGCCTGGACAGCGAGCCCTCTATTCCTGAGGGAAAAACGAATACGCAGTCATTCTGGTGACTATTACATCTGGTCGACTGTGCCCCGCTTCGAGCTATACTCCACATAGCATGGCTTAATACAATTATTGGAACCTGTGTTCAATTTCCTGTGGAACTACAACTTGGTGACGCTGGTGGCTCAGGACCAACACATATGTGGCCCATACATCACACCACGCATTTCATACATGCACTGTATTTATGCACACACAAACTCCCGTCACACACGCCCCCCTCAACCCCCCCCCCTCACACACGCCCCCCTCAACCCCCCCCCCTCCCTCACACGCGCCCCCCTCACCCCCCCCCCCCCCCCCTCACACACGCCCCCCTCAAACCCGCTCACACCCCCCTCCCCTTCCCCCCCCCCCCCCCCCAGGTGGCGGACACTGTTCTTGTCGAACAACGACTACATCATGACGCGCGTGGTGCAGAACTGAACCAATACGCCTGTGGCCCATATGTCAAAATATCAGCATGTGATGCCCTCCTCATGTACCCTCCTCCCCCACCACCCGCCCCCCGTCCCCCACTTTCCCCCCTCTCCCCTCCCCGCCATCCCTCCCCCTCCCCTACCCCATGCAGGTGGCCGAGAGGACGCTGTTCCTGTGGAACAACGACTACATCGTGACGCTCGTGGCTCAGAACCGCACCACCATCCTGCCCCTCATCTTTGCTGCTCTCGAGCGCAACGCCAGAAGCCACTGGAACCAGGTATGGTGCCGGTAGGGTGGCACTAGCAGGTATGTGGTAGGATGTGACTGTAGCACGGACTGCCTATGGTTGTAGCACGAACCGAAGCTGCTGGGACCAGGTAGGGTGGCACATGCTTGTGTGTGGCAAGGCTGTGGCTGTGAAACGAATTGAAGCCACTGGAACCAGGTATAGTGACAGCTGCAGGTACAGGGTTGGCCATGGCTGTAGCACTTACGGAAGCCACTGGCACCAGGTACGGTGATACAGCGTCTAAACTGGCATGCCTCTGACCTGAGACAGTCGATGGTGCAAGTGAACCGAGGCACAGTGACTTTTGCCGCTGCAGGTACAGGAGAGGCCACGGTGGTGGTAGCACAGTCTGAAACCACTGGAACCAGCAGCTGCTCTAGAAATGAGCAGTCGAGTTGATTCTTGACCTAACCGATTCTTTCGACTCAAGGCGGCTTAATCGAGCGTCTACATTTGTTTTGGTTGGGCGAAGGTGAAATATCAGTTGCTTTGCCAGTTGATTTTCCAGGGTTTAGGGAGTTAAAGCGTGATGCTGACAACTACTGTCTGCTGACCTCTGCCCTTGCTATGAGGGTTTATGTCACCGATCCTTCTTTCCTTGTAAGCATATTCTCTCATCCCCTGTGGTTTGGGATCCCTACTCCTTCCCCACCTTCATGAGAGATGGACCAGGCTCCCTGTGATGAGTCCCGGAGGCCCACTGCTTGCAGTGCTGCTCTGCCTCCCTCCCTTGCCCTCTTCTCTCCCTCCTCCGTCCCACTGTGCTTTTGCCTCTCTCTTTCTCTTCCCTCCTCTCCCATTTTGCTGTCCCTCTTTTCCTCCCCTGATCTTCCTCCTCTCCTGCCCTCCCTCACGGCTGTTCTCTCCCCTCCCCTCCCCCCCCCCAGATGGTGAGCGGCCTGACCATCAACGTGTGCAGGATGTTTCTCAAGATGGACCGGGCCTTGCCCAATGCTTACTGTGCTAAGCTCCTCTCCCTCGTCTCCCTCTCTACTTCCCGTTCTCTTCTCCTCCCTCCCTCCCCTCTTTCCTCACGGCTCTCCCTCCCCCCCCCAGATGGTGAACAGCCTGACCATCAATGTGTGCAGGATGTTTCTCAAGATGGTCCAGGCCTTGGCCAATGCATTCTGTGCTGTGCTCCTCTCCCTCCTCTCCCCCTCTGCTCCCCTATCCCTCCCCACTGCCCTCTCCCTGCCCTTCCCCCAGGCGGTGAACAGGCTGACCATCAACGTGTGCAAGATGTTTCTGGTTGATGGATCAACCCCTGTCAATTCCTTGTGTTCTGCCGCTCGCTCCTTCTCCCCTTCCTTTCTCTCCACTTCTACTCTTCTTCTTCCCTCTGTTCTCGCTCCCCCACCCTTTTCCTCCCCCCAGGCGGTGAACGGGCTGACCATCAACTTGCGCAACATGTGTCATGAGATGGACCAGCCCCTTTACGACGAGTGCCAGCACCAGTTGCTCCCCTGCCCAATGCATGCTCTGCTGCTTCTCTCTCACCTCCCCCTCTGCTCTCCGACTTCTGCTCCTCCCCTAACTTTCCCTTCCCCACCCCCCACTTCCTCCCTTTCCCTTCCCCACCCCCCACTTCCTCCCTTTCCCTTCCCCCTCTCTCGCTCTCTCTCTCTCCACCCCCCTCATCCCCATTCCTTTCCCCCCAGGCGGTGAACGGGCTGACCATCAACGTGCGCAAGATGTTTCTGGAGATGGACCAGCCGCTCTATGACGAGTGCCAGCGCCAGTTCCTGGAGGAAGAGGGCCGCGCTGCTGACGTGGAGGAGCTACGCGCCGCCACGTGGCAGCGCCTGGAAGAAGCAGCGGTGACGGGCGGGGTAGGGGGAGGCGGGTTCGGTGGAGGGTTGCAAGGGGGTATGGATGTGGATAGCAGAGAAGGCCGGCCGCAAGATTATGAAAACAATTTAGGATGACATGACATGAGTCATATGACAGGGAGTAGAGTGTAGAATGAAACTGTAGATTTTCGCTACTCCTTGTGGCCCATCATCATTTCCGTCATCGCTCTGTGATATTCTCCCAGATATTGCTGTGGTTGTGAAATGCCTCAAGTTGATTGACTGCCCTTCCCTTGTTCAGTTCATTGGGAAACTCAATGGATGAATCACTTGTACCGTATCACCCTGGATAAAAGCGCACCTGTGCTTATGATAAAAACATGTTTTTTTTAGGGGGAGCGCTTATAATTAAGCGCATGCGCTTATATAATGACAGTTACAGAAATATATTTTACACGCGCCAAATTGTACATCTCAGTCTTGCGATCTCAATCGAAACGCATTGTGAGAGGGTCACAAGTCAGAATCGCGTGAGGGCGATGCTCTGCCGGCGAAAAGAGCCTTGGCCCGTCACTTTGCAGGTGTGCCAGCTCATCCTGACTGGACTCGAAGCCAGTGAGACCCTCGAGAGAGTCAAACAATGTGAAAATGGATGTGACTCGCTGCAAAACTGGATTCCGTTACTGTGTTTATCAGGATAAAAAAAAATATAATTATATATGCGCTTATAAAAAGTCATGGTTTTACAGGGGGTGCGCTTATAAATGAGGATCGGCCATAAGTGCATTGCTCCAGATACAAGGGCATGCGATTATAATAGGCATAAGCTTATATCCGGGGCAGGGTCCTCGCTATCAGACATTTTTGTATGTTTTTCTGAGTTTCCAGACAGGTTTTTTTTCTGTCAATCTGATTTTCCAGGAATTGGCTTTTTACTCCATCTGATTGATCAGAAATGGTTTTTTGTTTTCATCTGATCCATCAGAAACACATTTCTTGTTTATTCTGGAACTGAAACATAGAATAATGAGAATTTCTGATTCATCAGACGCGCAAAAAGCAAAATATCTGACGCATCAGACGGCCCGAAGGGCCCGTCTGATGCATCAGGGGGGTTCAAATCCTAGCAAGGACCCTGATCCGGGGCCATACGGGTACCATACTTGCAGTGTTGGTTCTGCTGACAATGTACACCGTAGTAGTGTCAGAATGAGGAATGGGGCTTCCATTGATGTTGGTTGGGGTACATATAACAAACCCTAACTTCTGTACCCCCTAAGACAAACCTCACTACAGGCTACAACATTTGACACACCCCCATAGCCTAAGTGAGGGGTGTCTAGCAAAAACAAAAAAAAAGAGTACGGTCACAAGACCAGTCCAAAAGAAAACAAAGCTCAGGGTGGATCACAACGTCACCACACACTCTGAGCACAAGCAACAGTGGCCACAAGGCCAGTCCAAGAGATCACAAGTATATATAGTAAGTGTACAGACGAAGCAGGCAATAAACTCAAGTCTACGCATGACTAGAACCTGTGTCAACAAGGCCTAACTGCACACAACACCTCTGGTGGTCACAAGGCGGAAGCGCCTTGGTGAAGATGTCTGCAGTGTTGGCCTCGGACTCTACAAACTCGAAGCGAGCCTGTCCACGCCTCTGCAACTCTCGCAGAAGAAAGTACCTGACGTGAATGTGCTTCACTCTGCTCTCCAGTCGCGGCTCACGACAGAGGAGGATCGACGCCTTGTTGTCAGTAAATAAGGTCGGTGCAGAGCTCGGCCGCTCACCAAGGTCGGCGAGCAAGAAGGTCAACCACCGCAACTCCTGTGCCGCCATGGCACCAGCGTAAATCTCAGCCTCAGCTGTAGAGGTCGAGACAGAAGAGGAGCGCGTGGAACGCCAGGAAACAGCTCCAGAACCCAGACTAAAACAGTACCCCTGAGTAGACCTGTGAGTCTCAGCGTCGTCAGCGTAAGAGGAGTCACAGTGACCAGTGAGTACGACAGACTGCTGCCCTCCAAGAACTAGCCCCACGCCTGATGTAGTCGCTAGGTACTTTGCCACCCTCACAACTGCCGTCCAGTGAACAGGACGGTGTCTCCCTGGCGCAACAAAGCGCGCAAGGATGCTGAGAGGGAAGGCGAGGTCCGGGCGAGTACAAGTCATCAGGTACATGAGGCAACCCACAAGCTCTGCGTAGGGACCACTAGGCTCAAACGGCTCGTCAGGAAAGGGACCAGTGAGTCTGTGGTCAACAGCTAGAGGTGTGCGCTGTACGGTGGAGTGCTGAAGCCCGAACCGCTGAAGGACCTGCTGCACCATGTGTGACTGTGAGAGTGTAATGGTGCGAGCGGCTCTGTCCCTGGTGATCTGCAGGCCAAGGTAGTGGCGCAGCTCACCAAGATCAGTGCACGTGTGTCTCTTCTGCAGTTCGGACTTCACGTCTACCAAAGCAACCCTGTCCGAAGTGGCGAAAACGAGGTCGTCGACGTAGACCAGAACAACGAACGGTGTGGAGCCACGACGAACGAACAGCGACGGGTCGGCAGAAGACGGCTGGAACCCAAGGTCAGAGAGGGTAGAACGCAGAGTGTCGTGCCACTCACGAGGGGCCTGGCGAAGACCGTAAACAGGTCGCCTCAGCCTCCACTGGGTCCCAGGAGGGAAAGTGCCAGTGAAGGCCGAGGGACGACGCAACCAGACCTCCTCGTGTAGACTGCCCTGAAGGAAAGCAGTGGAGAAGTCAAGAGAGTGTAACTCGTAGTCTCTCTGTGCTGCTACGTGTAGTAACACCCGAAGAGTGGTCATCTTCGGGGTAGGTGCGAAGGTCTGAAAGAAGTCAACTCCCTCGCGCTGACTGAAACCTCTAGCCACGTAGCGCGCCTTGAAGACCGGGGGAGATCCCGGTGGCCGCTTCTGTCAGAACTATATAGCTTATACTATTGTGTAGGCTATAGTGGGGTATCCCATAGGGGGTACAACCCAATTAGGGTTTCCTATTTGTACTCACTTCTTTCATAGTCATTCCATTCACGTTCTCTCTTTCACATGGAATCAGAGCAGGTCCCCTACTAGGGACTGTTTCTTGGGCCCACCAAAGCGCGCCCCGAGGCGCGCGTCCTTTTGTTTAGCGACCCGTCGTGTCGCCCTCCCTAGCGGCCTGTCGAGCCGCCCTACCTTGCGGCCCCGCCGCCCTATCGCGCGGCCTCGCCGCCCTAAGTCGCGGCCTGCCCGCCGCCCTACGTCGCGGCCCCGCCGCCCTACGTCCCGGCCCGCCCGCCGCCCTACTTCGACGGCCCGCCCGCCGCCCTACGTCGCGGCCCCGCCGCCCTACGTCCCGGCCCGCCCGCCGCCCTACTTCGACGGCCCGCCCGCCGCCCTACGTCGCGGCCCTGCCGCCCTCAGCTACGCGGCCCCGCCGCCTTCTGCTACGCGGCCCTGCCGCCCTCTGCTACGCGGCCCCGCCGCCCCTCGATCGCGGCTCCGCCGCCCTCTGCTACGCGGCTCCGCCGCCCTCTGCTACGCGGCCCCGCCGCCCTCTGCTACGCGGCCCCGCCGCCCTCTCCTACGCGGCACCGCCGCCCTCTGCTCCGCGGCCCCGCCGAGCCGCCCAGCATCAGCCGAGCCGCCCAGCAGCAGCCGAGCCGCCGCCGAGCCGCCGCCGCCTGAGCCGCCGCCCGGGCCGCCGCCGAGCCGCCGCCGCCTGCGCCGCAGAGCCGGAGCCGCCCGAGCCGCCGCCCAGCCGCCCAGCAGCAGCCGAGCCGCCGCCGAGCCGCCGCCGCCCGAGCCGCCGCTGAGCTGCGACCGAGCCGCCGCCCGAGCCGCCCGAACCGCCCGAGCCGCCCGAGCCGCCCGAGCCGCCCGAGCCGCCGTGCTGCTGTTCCTGAGCTGTGTTCTTCTGCTGCTGACCTACCCGACTCTCCCAGCCCGGTGAGACTTCCAGCTGCTGCCATGGCCACCCCCAATGTTCTTACTTTTGACGCTGAGGGAAGGGCCATTGACTTTGCCGTCTGGATTGAAGACCTGCAGCTGTACTTACTGTGTGATGCGATAGATGAGGTCTCTCTTTTTGACTTTGTCTCTGGCGCTGTTCCTGCCCCACCTGCTGATGCTGACTCTGCCGTTCGCTCCAAGTGGGCGACCCGCGATGCTGCTGCACGTCTTGCTGTGCGTCGCCACCTCCCTTCCTCTGAGCGTGCCCACTTTAGTCAGTACAAGTCCGCTCAGGCCTTGTACGACGCTGTAGTTGCACGCTACTCCTCCCCTTCCTCCGCTACCCTTAGCCGCCTCATGCTACCGTTTCTCTTCCCTGACCTCGCTTCCTTTCCCACTGTCGCTGACCTCGTTACCCACCTCCGTGCTAGTGACACCCGCTACCGCGCTGCCCTTCCTGCTGAGTTCCGCGCTGCGAACCCTCCTCCCATGTACATCACCCTCTACTTTCTCGTCACCCGTCTCCCTGAGTCCCTTCGTGTCGTTAGGGACCAGTTTCTCTCTGTCTGTCCCACCACTCTCACTGTCGACCTCCTTGAGGAGTCCCTGCTAGCGGCTGAGAAGAGTATTGTCGCTGTAGGGGCCTCTCGGGGTGACCCTCGCACCCCCATCTTTGAGGGGTGTGGTCCTTCCCCCCTGCTGCCCTCTGTCGCCTCTGCCGCTGCGGCCGACCTCACTGGTTTTGAGTCGGTCGGCGCGGCGTCTGCCCCCAGCGGCAGACGCCGCTCTGGCAAGAGCAAAGGGGGCAAGGGAGCGGGTGGAGCTAGAGGGGGCGGTGGAGGAGGCGGTGGGGGTGGCGGGGGGAGTGGGGGTGGCGGTGGGGGTGGTGGCGGGAGTGGAGGTACTGGTGGCGGCTGTGGAGGCGGAGGTGGCGGCGGAGGTGGTAGCGGAGGAGGCGGTGGGAGCGGTGGGAGCGACGGTCCTGGTGGGGGAGGTGGCGGTGGAGACGGGGGTGGCGGTGGAGGCGGGGGTGGCGGTGGAGGCGGGGGTCGGAGTGGCTCGTCCCAGCGGAGCAGCTCTGGGGGTGGTCAGCGCCAGCAGCAGCAGCAGCAGCAGCCGCAGCAGCAGCCACAGCAGCAGCAGCGCTCTCGCACCGTCCCCGGCCCTCAGCAGCTCCGTGAGTGGTACTTGCAGCGTC